TTATATATTCAAATCACGGTTCATTGGTGTGTTTATTTTCTTCGAAAAATACGTTAATTCTGGGAAACCAGTTACGTAAACAATAATAATATCAGCTGTATTATAGTTATTCCAGACTCCGTATTCGGGTGATTATTTCGATAAAGGTTAGACCAAGCCGTCAAACGGGACCATTTACATCGAGGAATGAATACCGCACAACGGATATTTACAATAGTGGTCAGTTTATTCACGAATAGCTGTAACTTTGAGGTTAATCAAATTAATATTGGAGTAGGGAGTGGCGTGCTGTGGTTGTATAAAATGCCCTTAGAACGATACAATTGTACGATGAAATAATATAATATGGAATACGTGCGTGTTATGAAAATTTAATTGGACATTTATTTTTATCCGGGATATTATAAGTATGTATGTATCGCATTAGTGCAATTTCGTACAATGAGATAGGTATGTGTATAAGTACATTTTTATAAATATGAAAAACACATTTTTACTCATAGATAATTATAGTGGCGTAGACGGGTCGTTCGTACCTAACGTTGTGGGTAGAAAGGCATTATATTATGTAAGAGAAAAAGAACCTGTCCGCTCATGTTCGTGCCAATCGTTATAGGATATGTTTAAAAAAAAAAAAATTATAATATACCTCTATAGATGTTAAAATCAAATAAAAACTATTTAAAAACCAGTAAAATTTATATTTTAGATTCTAAATGTAACAAAGAATGTATTGGTTTTACTACAATGTTTCTTTTTTATTATGTGTAGAAAAATTCTACCAGAAATCGGTACAATATTAAACAAATATTATTAAAGAAAATATATAACGTTTACTTAATTATTTTACCATAATATGACATATATATTGTTTACAAGGCATCACTATTAACTGAACTGTGCTCAGAATCGGTTTTTCGTTAGCAATAGTTTACCATTACTTACAGATATACATTCAATTATTTATAACAGTTATAACAGTGGCTGCACCCGACCCCATTATCCTAGTGCGTCTTTTTTTTTTTAAAATTTAATAAAATACTTACTCAGCGTTTCATCAATACATATTACAACCAATTCTTGCGCAATAAGGTTCCATAAATCTCTATTGCGTTATCGTATTATCTAGATTTTTACTTTTATACAAATATGGTATCGATTTTTTTTTAATCGTAAAACCTACTATACATCTGTACGACTGTATTTCATACGCGTCACAAGTAATATTATTAGTATATAAAATACAATATATTCAACATAATCGCGATAGTGTGGAATAAACATTTTTTCCCATCCCGAAATTGCTATTCGAAATATCTACATATTAAAATTTATTGCCGTGAAGGAAAAAAAAAAAACGTTTTACTTTCAATAAAAAACATACTGTCAAATGCTACCTACTCCGCTTATATAGCGTTTCTTCGTCAACTGCCCACACATGTTATTGAAACGTTTAACACTCTGTATGCGTATTATTGTGTGCACACTCGTATATTACGTTATAGTATAATATGCTAAATAAAGACCTTTATACCGTTATTTACATATTCTATTATTATAATATTACGTATATTATAACCACATAACTTGTATTATGATCCGTCAAAATTGCGTACGCGCGCGTGGCCAGATACATGCACTACGGAAAGGTTTTAAATAAACACGCGACAACCGGCACAATCGCGACAACAATCTTATATTATTATTGGCTATTGCGGTTTCAGTAGAAATGAAAACCAAAACGGCTTGTCGTACATTAACATTATATTATTATTATATACTCTCCTTGAACCAGAAACAAATTCGAATCAACTATACTCAGATGTCGATGTTGATCACTATTGATTGCTTTAGTATAGCTGACAAATTGGCAAACATAATATAATTGGCCCGGACAAATATGGTAAAACTAATGATTATCATATTTATTTAATCAGTTAATTTAACCTAACAACTATACAAATCGACCGTATTGAACCGCTAACGACCGTGTGAGTGGAACACTAAATTTAAAAAAAAAGAAAAAGATGGATATATTTCGCATGTGGGTGGGTCACTGTTGAAGGTGAGAAATTAGGAAGGTAGTATAAAGTAGGTATAGAGGGAAAATTTAATGTATATTAGTTAATCGTTGAGTACTGATCTCAACGATTAACTATTATAAACATAATATTTGTTAATTATTGTACCTATTTTCCCGTTTTTCCTACTTTCTTGCCGTTCTTCCTTCGTCTTTTCCCGTTTTTATTCATTGGGAAAACTCCTGAGAAAATCAATAAAAACAATTTTTTATTTTTCAATAATAAAAGTACCGCTCAATATTAACCTGCATAATACTATTATACACTCTTCCTGTATAATATTAGATTTCCGTGACCGAAAAGCTTTTTAATGCGTATTTACACGAAATCATAATACTGTAATATATTATAATTGAACGCAGTTGAATTAAGTGGAGTGGTTCGGCAGTATGGTATTAAATAGAAAATATTTATGTTTATTTTAACGTCTGATTTACGACGGCAGAATACTGTGTGTGTTTACGTACACAAATATTACAGTTAAACGTCGCCAATCATTATGTGCATACAAGATAGTCGTATAGTAAAAGTTAATGCCTATATTATAATATACTCGCAAGCACCGTCGATGCAGTTTGAGTTCACGGCCTTAAATGATAATATTTGTATTGACATTATAAATCGCAAACGATTGATTTTCCACGTTCAACTACCAAACGAATATATAAAGTGTCGGAGGTTGAAGAACGACGTACACTAACCTAACGTTAAATATCAGGAAAATAAATAATTCGTTAGCAACGTTATTCAAAACAAATACGTACCCTTATTGTACACGATAATATAAACAAGTTTTTACAACGTATTATTATCCTGTTCAGCTGGATAAATTTATTCCGAACTCAATTCGTATAATCGTCGTATTTTATCTCGACGCAATCTCATCGAATAATTTAACAAAGTCGGCGTGACCGTATTGTATTCATATTATATTAAATTTATCAAACATAAACTAAATATCGTACAAAGGTAAATAATATGTCCAGAGTCCGGGCCAGTTGACAATACCTTTAAAAATGACCAAAACTCCATAATAAACAATGCGGCGATATATTGATAATATTGTATCCAACACAAAAGTACCAAACGCGTAAAATATTTTATCAACATAGGTAATGGAAAACAAAAATTAACTTTAAACATTTATACAAAATACATAGATACCTACGTAATATTATCATAGCACAATATTTCAACAAAAGAGGTTCGGCATGTTTTGTGAAATGTGCACTTTATAAAAAATATAAAAGAATGGCCGATACTGCTAATAAGTGTGCAACTGTTGTAGATGGAATATAAGGAAGGTTGAATACATAATATTATTAAATACATGTCTGTACACAACGGCAAATCAATGTTAACCAAATTCTATTCTGACTTCTGAGCGAAATTTGGTAAAAATATGTTGGATATTTTGTATATTTTGAATTGCCGTAATTTTTCGACAATATCTGAACTTTAAATGCTAAAAAAACTAGGTATTATAGAATACTCAACAATTGTTCTGATTTTAAACTCAATTCAAAATGAACCTTGTAGTAAATTGTATAGCATTATTGTTAAATAAATTAAATTGTATCCAAATAAAACCAAATAGAAAGTTAATATAGGGCTGATATTAATGATCGGTAAGTAACTTTTGTAGGTGAGAAGTTGGGAAGGTAGATTTATTTTATTTATATCTATAAGCAACGGTAAATCATTGCTAATGAAATCAAATTATAAGCAATGTTCGATTAAATATGCTAGAAATGGATAATATCAGTTTTCTCTGAAAATTGCAGGTCTCTACACGAAATTATAGTATTAATATTATAAATATATATAATCTATAGGTACACTAGCTGACCTGGCAATGCGTTGCTATTGCTAGGTAATAATGTAAATAATAGTAATAATAATAATAGTAGTTTTGAATAAACAAAAATAAATATACATTAAAAATTCGACATTCGTATCAAAAATATCTATAAACCCCTATATAATTCACGGGGTTTAGAATGAAACGTTTAAGACTATCTTATCTTTTAAGTTGCATTGTACATAATCAACGTACATGTGATTTTTACATATATATTATTAATAATTATAGTATTATATTCGAATTATAAAAACAAAAATACATACTAGGATATTGGGATCGGTTGCAGACACCGTTATAGGTAATTTAATATCTGTAAGCAATGATAAGTCATTGCTAAAGAAAAGACGATTCTAAGCTGAGTTCAGTTGATAGTTATGCTTTATCAACAATATGTACGTCATATTATTGTAAAATTATTAAATTTGTATTTTATATTTTCTTTAATAATATACCGATTTTCCGGGTTTTTTTTTCCGTTTTTTTCCGTGCCACGCGTAAATATTTGAGCAAGATTTATGGTAGAGTTTTTGTATACAGAATAAAAAAATAAACATCTTAGTAAAACCAATATATTCCTCGCTACACTCAGAATCTAATATATATATATATATAATAATTAAATCGTAATTTCTGTAAACTTTCTAGTTTTTCTACGTTTTCTCTTAGTTATTTGAAAAAACTACAAGGATAGTAAAAATACGATATTCTTATAGTTTAACTAGATAACATCTTTTTTTTTAGATAAGATGCTTCTGTTGCAAAAACTTAGAGTAAGATTTTTGGTAGAAAAACTTAATTGATCCCTCATATAAATTTAAAATGCTACAAAAAAACGACGTGGGAATACTTATATATTATGCTACATACATAATGGCATTGGGTTAAAATATCGTCGGTAAACTTTTTAAATATTTGGTATTTCAAATCTATTACTGTTGAATAAAATTCGACCAGGCGACATTTACAATATAAAACTGTTTAAAAGATTTATAACATTTTGAATCATTAAAACCATAATATTATTATATTCCATTTGTATATGTCAACAAAAGGTGCGAAAAAAAAATTAAATCTCCTGTCATGTTTTAAAAATAGCTGTTAAATACTTATTCTTTAACATACAGTATTGCATAATCCGCAGCACAGCGTCTAACGTAATATATTTCCAATTAAAATATAGAATTAGTAAATGGGGACGTTCGACCACGACGAGTTGATTTTTCTTATATTCGTTTTATTCATATAGCTCGCGTATTGATTTTTCGCATAGCAATGTATTATAATATACCGGGTTAGAACACTATTCTGACAATGTTTTCGAACGACGAATTAAAAAATAATAATAACAATGACAGACTTTGTACATGCATGCAACTCGTTTATATTATATCATTGCTATTATATTTTTACATTTTATCGCCAGAAAAATGAAACCATATTCGATTCATTAATTGAACAATTTGAACGTATATATAAAATATATTATATAACCCAGCCAATATATTAAATTTAATCTTTACACCGATTGTTGTCAAAAATAGTTCTCTTCGGACTTATTATTAAAACTGACAAAAACTTTCACAGAAAATACGTGATGACTACAAACTTTTAGTATGTACCTTGGACTTAATATAAAAACATCCGGCTTTATTTTTGCGACACACTATACTTGTACGCATATCCCTAGTTCTGGTAGTGAAATTAAAACTCAAAAAACAGCTTTATTTAATTTATATATATATAATATTATTTATGTAATTAATTAGATATAGTTTTAAAAAAAATAACCGTGTACAGTAGAGCTTTATCACTAAAGTCGAATTTTCTTCCGTCCAACTAATTACCTTTATAATATGTATGATATATGTATTTATTTTAACAATTGATATGAAGTATTTATGCTTAACATAAATAATAACATGCAAGCGATCGGTGAAGCTGGGGTTGGAAGTTGAAACCTTCTAAAGGCAAATCCTCAATATTTAATTTTAACATATTTTAACCCTGTTACTTAACTTAACGAGTTTATAAGGGTATTTCTTGTGACAACATGCAATTTTAGCATACAAATGGTTAGGGAGGGTGTGAAAAGATGAATTCTCCCAAAGGCACATACTTGATACACCATGCATACACAATATTTCATAATCCTGGCTTTATTTGAGTGGGTCTATTATAGGGGTGTACTAAGATAAATATCTCTCTTCCCAAAATAACATGGTACAGTTCATGAAGATATTTTTATCATTTGAATCTGTCTAAAAAAAAATCGAACTCCCAAATTTGATCTCATTTGGTTGCTAAATGTGCCCAAACCTATATTTTGTAGTGAGTCTTTTGACTTTATTTGTATTTTACATTTTATTCGTATCACCAGGAAAACACACAAATCAACATGAAAAATAATAAAACTTTCGTTTCCTAAATACCAATCACCTATTATTGACAGCCTCCCTTTAGGGGTTGAATACAGAGGAAAAGTATAGCCTATTGTGTGTTATTTCAGGTCTAGAACTACATCCACATAAAGTTTCAGCACAATCCGTTGAGAAGTTTGGGAAAGAGGTGGTAAATAACATACGTCTATCAATTCAAATGAATTTTCATATTTATATAGTTACCTGCTGTCTTGCGTCTGGCGTTAAAAATTTCAATTATTCAATTATTTTTACCTTTATTCCCGTTTTACTTTGCTCGTATCAGTATATTGAATGGAAAAAAATTAGGTGGAAAGTGGTTAGTCAGGCGGAATAAAAGTGTTCTAGTGTGTTATACATTTTTTCATCCGTGTTACTATAGATACCCACATAACGTAGGGATTAAACTATATTATATCCATTATAATAACGCTAACATTATGAAAATATAATATTTTATGTTCACATAATTTACTAAACTACTGTAGTGTTTTTACTGTACTAAAAAATACAAAGATTCAAATTTGACGTTTTACGTGTTTTCACTTTTCACTTACCCACACAGTAAAGCGCATAGTTTTTTTTGTTTTTTTTTTCATCAGTGTTACCAAGGTATCCCATCCTATACACCATTGATCGTGGTAATTATATATATATATATTTATATGTAAAAAAAGGTACCACTGATTGAATATGCTTTTCGAGAAAAGTACGAAAATAATATAATGTCTATTATGTATTATATGTACATAAAAAAAAAAAATGAAGAAAGGAGAAAAATAGGAATAATGAGATAAGAAGAAAATATAGGAACAATTTCAGTCAGTTCAAGGTAATAATATAAAATATAATAATATGTTCACCGGGCATGGGAGTACCGAAAACTCTCGCACAATGAATATACATCATAATACGAATATGTCGTGTATACAAAATCAGCCTATCCACGAATTTTTTATATTTTTTTCCCCAAATTAATGACTAAGTATATATAGCTGTTCCTAATTATTATTATTTATCTCTTTTTTTTTGTCTGCGGATTCTCTTGTTTATTATACCCGTAGACATTTTTCTATCGTAAAATATTTTTTTCGTATACTGTACAACCGCTATATATATTATTATATATGATACTACAAGAGCCACCCTTTTATAAACACCTATATGCGTATACGCACAGGTGAATAATATTATTATAATATTATTGTTATCGACACGAAGTTAAATTAAAAACCGTCCGACCACCGCCGTCCATCTGGACGTGTAATGTTAATAATATCCGAAATTACAAAACGTCCATTAGCCGGGCGAAAACAGTTCGGAATCCCATCCCGAGACTAAAATATTTATAATATTATAAAATCGATTATTCCATATATAGCTATAACTAATTCATTATGTGACGGGCAATGTGGAATATCAGGCAAGGTGTACTTTGCCCGGGCTATATGGTCCCACCCGGGCATTTTGAACCACAAATAAAACAATTTATTTTAACGCAACATGCGCGAATGTATAATAATATGTTTTACAGTTTTTTTCTACCACGAGTGAATTATTTAATTTATTATTTAAAAGGAACACAAATATATTGAAACTAATAATGACATTTTTTATTTATTTACAATAAAGGCGCCGTATAAACATTAGATTTAGATATATTTTGTTATTATAGTCTACCTATATTGTTGTGTTCTCATATAAAACTGATAGGCGTAAACAATTGTCAATAAAGTGAACAAATATAACGGCATTTTTCTAATCAAATTATCAACGCGATTAAATTAATTTTAATCGATTTGTTTTTCACTTTCAAATAATATAATAATCAAAAAACGTTCGTTATGCATTCACACATTTCACGTAAAAGTAAATTGTCGTATTCGCGGTTCGCATTGCCCGTAACGTATTGTCGGCTGGCAACTAAAAACTCGGTAAGTCGTTTTTTTTTCTTTTTAAACAACTTTTCTACCAAAAAACTTGAGCCAGGAGCTAAACTACATAGAAACTTTCTCTTTCGAACTTTCGGTCTAGCCGGTGCATTGAGAAGGTCAGTATTTTGATTTTCTCTACGCATACTCAATAACAGTTTTTTCGCCGTAGTTTTGTAACGTCATATTTTGTGAAAATCGACCGGGTAGCCGACATGGGTACATAGTCTATAATATTAATATTATATATACGCGCGTATAAAACGGTGACGGGTCAAGTCACTTCTGTATATGTGTGGGTACGGGTATATCTACACCCATGATACCCGGACAGTCGTATTTTGCATACCTACTTAGAACGCGGAAGTGCGCCGCCGGGTGTATATCTGGTTGTTTTGTATGCCAGTCCTGCGTGTGCAAATCAATAATATTATCATCACTTTTCTACCTATACGTATAATATACATATATTATACACGCACACATATTATTACCGATACCCTCTCTTGTATATACTGTCGCACCGTCGTCCGACGACGATGCCGGAAAACGGTCAATCGTGATCGCATAAATACTACGACACCTATTTACGTATTTATAAATGTGCGTGTGCGTGTTCGTTGGTGTGCGTGTGAATTCTTCTTAATAATTACCAAAATATTACGAAAAATGACGACACACTGATTTTGTTTCAGCCGATTTTTAGTTTATACATTTTCTGTGATTCAAATTATACAGAAAATGCATGCATATTGATAACAATACAACAGTATTGAAATTAATTAATTTGTTAATTTATTCTCTTATGCATGGACATTGAAGACAATAAACAACTTAAAATTTTTATGAAATCATCGACGCATAATATATATTATAACCGAGTAATAACAGTAAAAAAATAATATAATATTGCAATTTTGAAATAGTTACAATAAAACACGTCGTGATGAAATTAATTTCACAGTAATTTTAAACAAATGTATTATACATTATTTTATTAAAAACTAAAATATAATATGTTCGTATAGTGGAAATATATTGCGAGGGCATAAACATAAAAATAAAAATATATATTATATATTCTTTGTATGCTTCAAATATATTAAACTTCAAATTTTTAATCGAAAATAATATGTTTTGGGTTCTGAACAACGTTTAATGTGTGACTAAAACTTGTATAAAAGTCGTCAGTTCGTCATTTTTAAAACGTATGCAACAGTGATAAAACCAAAGTTTTCACTGTCATAACTTTCAAACATGACTATACCGAGTATACCGAGAGGTCTTGACGAACATTATAGTTCAGTTTGTAGGATATTTGATAGACTAAGTCGATAAGAATGCCGTACACACATACTTGGCATAGCTAGATTTCGCTGATGTAGTTGGTTAAGTTGTCGTTTTAATGGTAAAATTACGACGGACTCTTTGGCCCGGAGACCAACTTACTTAAGTCTTATGTTAACTTTCTCGCAAAACACTCGCGTGAAATAATGCAATTAAGATTTAAAAATACATACATAACTAATGTCGTTTATTTTCAAAATACAAAACAGAAATGGATTTCAATTTCTAAAATTTATACTTCAGAAATGTATACACTATGCAATACGATACGTTATAATAAAACGGACAATCACTAAGTTTCCTAAATTAGGCGTTATTATGCCGGTGTCATTCGCAATCATTACAATATTATTCATGTCTTACAATGTCAATTCGGATTAATGCACACCGAAGATATTCGATAAATGATGCATAATATTATATTATTTTCAATAAAAGTAAATAAATTATAATTTTATAGTCATCAAGGCAAGTCGAGAAGGCAACTGTTAATAAACTTTCGGTAATATCATTAAATCGACTACATACAGTTACAATTTTGTTGAAGTGTATACCGTTAAAATATAATATATAGACAAGTATCTTTTATTCAATTTTTCAAAATCATATTTAAATATTGTATACGTTCTCCCACGTGTTATCAAGACCATTAATATTACTATTTATAATACCATCTTATTCACAAATGTTTTAATTTCCCTTGGGTTCGTTTCCCTTATGTTTTCTCGCTGTATATTTAATATTTACAAATCATATACTATACTAGTTCATATCATTCTAACAGCAACAATACGATAGTAATTGACGGGAAAAAGACCCAAAGGAATACCAAGGTTGAGGTGGATAAATAAGACGGGAAAGACTCTAGAAACACTTAAAGCGAAAATTGAGAAAATAAAATCCAAAATCGGGAAGATCAGAGAACAGTGAAAATGGTAGTTCTTACAGAACCGTGAAGCCAAAGAGAAAGACGATAAAGACGATAAAGACAAACACATATCGTTAAACAATTATATTCCATCAATTTATATTCATAGTTTCAATGTTTAAAAAACAGATAACAATTGAAAATGAGCTTAATTTCTTTTAACATTAATGTCTTAAAATAAAAGGTGTTTAAGTATTTTTAGATTCTCTAAAATCTTCTTGTGATATAACCGATGTTTTTATGAAATATGTTTTTCGCATTTTGACGATTTTTTATGAATCTAAACAAAGAACTTTTTTAGGGAAGAAAGAAGAAGAGCTTGGAAGTGATTTTCTCTTCCGTTATAATGACATAATCTTGGTTGGTAGAAAAATGCAATATTTGTATAACTTGTGCCAAAAAAAAAAAAAATGGCATTAAAGATAATCCTGAAAATATCAAGGAAATGTCGAGGATCAAAATGGTATGGAAAAATGGTAAATGCCTATAAAAACGTTTTGAAATGTTACCATAATAATAATAATCATTACTCATATCATTTTTTAGTCATCAACATGGAAGAAAAATCTCCCTTAAAAACTTGCCAAGCTATACTTCTTTCGGATTCATTATAAAATCACCAGGACATAAAAAACAAATTTTACAAAAACATAAATTAAATAAAAATTAAGAAGATACATAATCTAAAGAATCAGATGTGCTCAGAAGTCATAGAAGCTAGTGATATCAAGCCTACTGTTCTTCGACGTGTCATTGATGCATAATTTTAACAATCCCGGTAAATTTTAACCACAGCTCGTATAGGTAATAGACTTGATTGAGTACATAAGAAACTAATTAATCAGTAATCATACTAGTGAAAGAGCATATTAAAAATAAATACAAATATGAAAATAGTTTAACTGTAGGGCAATGTCGCAATAAATTTATACTATTGGTTCAGAATCAAAAACAGTAAAGTAAGAATATTGTATTATTTTTAACATGTATTTACATCATGGAAATTTGCATATTCTCACTGAAGTATTATTTTAATATTATTTTGTCAACCGTAAATTTTGGAGGATAAAACATTAAAGGCTAAAATTAGATAAACTTCTAAGAAATAAAAAATGTAAATTCAGTGAAGTGAGAATGAATTTCACACTTGAATAATGTAGAAGAGTTCTGAAACTAACACTTGCATACGAGTTTAAACATTTTACAAGATTTATAAATATTTGAATGTATGCGTTCATCCTTTGTACCAACGATTCAACTCGTTACATAGCGAGTGTTTCACTTTTTATATTTTATTTATTTTTACCTTACATTTGTGTTTTTTTTATTGTTCTACACCTTACACGGTACGACTTAACAATTCTTAGCCGTTTTATTTTTAACATAATCCAATTTTATTTTACGTATTCGTAAAATTGTATATATTACGGAGTTCAATACATAGGTAAGATATTAGTTATATCTATAAAATACAATTTCAATATATGTATATATTGCTAAAATAATAAATTGGTATCGTTTTTTGTTAAAAAATTAAGATGATAGAATGAACATTATTTTTAGTTACATGTTTGTCAAGTAAATTATGAATAATGTGAATAAAATAAATAATGTAACTTTTCCTTTGTCTATAAACACTGTGGACCGAAATTTGAATTTTGGGCTACATAATACTTGAGAACGAAATGTTAAGCTAACCTGAATATGAGATCATGATATGAACAGTACTTTATAATATACAGAACAAACGCTGTACCTGAAAGTTATTTATGTCAAAACTCACAAGTAAGCGTGAACGAAGAGCATACCATCTAATTTTGGTACGCAAGGTAGGTATACAAGATACCTATACTTCTGAAAATCTAAATTGTAGATAGGTAAATCTCTATTAAACGATTAATAATCTAGTTTGATGTAAAATATTACAATCTTAATATTCATATAAGAATTTATTTTACTATATACCTATAATATTATAATTTTAAAAATATAGAATATTTGGCTGGAGTGCAGTAAAAAAAAAAAAAAAAAAAATGTGCTCAAATTAATCTAGATGATAAAAACAAAAATAAATCAGTAAAATATCGATAAAAGTTCGAGAATTTTATGATGGCACAATAATAATATTATGGAAAGACTACGAATATATAGATGACTTATTAGCAATCTATGAGATTATTAAGCTCGATGGTTGTATACCAAAAGACAAGAGGACATATTTGAATGATTAAATTATGTGATAAAATGAAAAGTCTTTAAAGTAAATTACGAATTGTTTTTTCATTATTACATATAGATATCACGGAGTAAACAAATTGTTCATGAGTTAGAGGATCAATACAATTTGACCTTTTAGTATATTTTTAGAAAGTATACCTATATATTACGTCTGCTGACTTCAAACCTCTTATAAGAATCGCTACCTGTATCATGCTATACAATTAGTTCTTCAGTAGTTTTTATAGATAGATCACAGGTGTAGTTAAGAGTGGGATTTGGGACATCCAGTAATATCCATAGCCTTCTTAGTTTTTAAACATTATTAAGAATATTAAAATTAATTTTCAGTATTATTTACTTAATGAATAATTAAAGCTTATTATTAAAAGCGGTCCTAGGATAATAGGGACAGGTGCAGTCACTTTTATAGGTAATTTAACGTATACCTGAAGCAACGATAAACCATTGCTAACGAAAAAAATGATTCTAAGCGGAATTCAGTTGATAGTGAGGCTTTGTCAACATTGTGTAAGTCATATTATGGTAAAATAATTAAATAGTCATTGTATATTTTTTTAATAATAATTGTTTAATGTACCTATTTTCTCGTTTTTCTCGGTTTTCCAATGTTTATTTCCTGGTTTTCACATTTGCTGGGAAAACTCTTGGAAAAATTCAAAAATTACAGGCCCAAAGTTCCTCTCTAGTTAAATTTTTTTTTAGAAAAAGCGCTTTTATTGTAAAATGGAGCAAAATTGCTGGTAGAAAAGTTGTCCACAGAAAAAAAATCGTAATATTTTACTAATGTATTTCGTCCTTTTTCCGTTTTTCAAGATTTTTCTCATTTATTGGGAATATTGGGAGTATTTTTTGAAGCAACAGAGAAAAGTGAAAAAACCAAATAAAAATTGCAAATTAATGAAATATGCTAATGATTTAATTGAATTATAAGAATAAATTAGCTTAGAAAATGTCATTAAAAAAAAAGTATAAATTTATTTACAGATAATGAATTTTTTCCAGATTAAGTGAAAAAAAAGTTAAAATATGGAAGTATACCCATATTAAATAGCCCTAGACGTGTACCCATAAAACTAATAGACAAATTTATGGAAAATTTAAAAATATTATATTCTAAACAAATAATTAGGAAAAGTAAAAAACCTAGCAAATAGAAAAAAACCGTAGTAATATTAGAAAAACTGGATAAATCTTTTAGAATATGTTAGACCCTAGACTTTAATAAAAAAATTACGAGAGAAATGATTGAAATTTCAAATTTAGATGAAGTGAGCAATACATTAATGAACAAAAAGGTTTATAAATTAGTAAATCTCAAATGTGGTTTTATTAATGTGAGTTAGAAGGCTGTATACAAAAACACTGTGCATTTAGTAGATACACAATATGGTTCATATTATTTTAATAGATTTCCATCTGGAATAGCATGTTCAATAGGTAACTAATAAATATTTTGGAAATATTCGAAATTTGTGTGTTTATGTGTGTGTGTGTGTATGTGTACATTGATGAAATTTTAGTTTATGGTAAAATAATGCGAGAACAAAATGACACTCTTAAAAATATTATACTTACTAAAACTATCCATAACTTTTTGGATAGAGCCAAGTTACTAAATATAAGGTCCAAATAAAACATAATCCCAAAAAAGTGAAATAAAATATTTAGGTTTCAAGTTTAATGAAAAATAAGTAGAACCAGACGGAGATAAAATCAAAGCAATATCAGAATTAAAAAGTTCTAATAATGTAAAAGAACTGCCACTTAGTACAATGGATGATAACTATCTGAGATCGTTTATACCAAATATAACAAATATAGTAGAACCAATGAGAATATTACTGAAGAATAACAATAGGTAGTGATGGAGTGGTAATTTTGAAATGGCATTAAATATATCAAAAAGCATTTTGACTCTAAGACCCATTTCAGCCAATTATGATGCCAAGAATGAATTCAGAACATTCAACGGTACGCGTTACAAAAAAATTTCGGATGGTTTTTTGTTTCAGGAAAATAGACCAGTGTATTACTCGTCTAAATACACTAAACATTTAACATTTATGTTATTTAGTTAATTGGTAAATATTATGTACTCGGTTATGTAGTCCTGAAAAATGAAACGTTTACTAGTTGTAATAAGATATACAGTAGGTAAAGTGATAACATAACACACATAGTCGTAAAATATAGTATATATTTACTGTATACTTGTAATTAAAGACTAAAACATAAAAATTGCAGTTAATAAAGAATTAAATTAAATATTATAATATTATTTAGCAATTAAATGTAAATATAAAACAGCTGTTCTACTCCTTGCTTTATGCAGAAAATTTTACTAAAATAATAATAATAATGATGGGCACTTATAAAATATAATAATATCATAATATTATACTCCATCGGAATAAACAGCCGCGTATGGATTTTCAGGTGAAACTCTTGTGCGACACGCCGATACGGAATCCCCCGGGGCCATACGCGCATAGATTGATGAAAAGGCGGGACGGACGGTGACGTGGCGGAGTGAGGTGGGTGAGGAGAGGGCGAGGAGTATATAGTGTGCGCGAGTGCAGTGTATATGCGGTAGTTGATATTCTGCAGCAAAGTCGTGTTAGGTACATAATAATGTACGTACCCAAGTATA